AAACAACAAATAAGTCCGTACATGTTTTAAATAACATCGGGCGATTATATAACACTATTAAGTTAATATATATGCGATATTTTTAGATTTATCCTGTGTACCAGAGATTGTTACACTCGTATCTTAAGTCGAGAGAAGTAACTTCAGAATATATCGTACGAGCTTTCGCCAGCGGCTTCGCCTGGACTCTAGGCAAATGTTTAGTGGGATAAAAAGTATCCTATTATCTAAGTCAGCTAACACTCTATCTGTATACCAAATCTCATCAAAATCCGTTCAAGAGTTTCGGCGTGATTGACCGACAAACATCCAAACATCCAAACAAAGAAACTTTTACATTTATAATATTAATAGGATTATATATAACTCTAGCAAATATTTTTGCCAGATAAACAAGACCTTGAATAAAGTAAGAATGCTATTTTACATTAAGATCTCGTCTATTGGTTAAAAATATTTGTTATGACATTTCAAGTAATTCTGTCTCTTGACTATCGTTTGTTAGTATCACCTGGACGCTATTATAATGCAAGAAGGACGCTATTATAAACACAGTAATAATGCAAGCGAACCGAGTTCGATAACAAGATTAATAAAACTCTTGTAGGTAATACTTAACAAAGTTGTTTCCTTCTGTAAACTATTCATAAGTAGCTTTAACTGTTGAAGTATCGACATAACTTTGTATTTTTCCTTATTGGAAAAATTTTCACTGATATTATTTAATATTTTTATTATCATAAATAGATGAAAATATTATTAAAATATTATTTTTATTATTAGAACGACATGTTGACAATGTGAGTATAATAATATTTTATTCTGTAAAGTATATTTAGGACTCTTTAAATAGAGAATTGCAGAATATTATTTAGTTGCGGCCAATATTTTTAAGTGTAGTAACTATGCCTAATTGAATATAAAAAAATGACGATAGGATCCGATAGAGTGACGCTATTAGCACAGTTATTATATTCTGTGCTAATAGTGTTATAAGTCTATGGACGCTAGATTATATGTATACTTCACTCTTAGCTCCTGCAGTGACATTTCACCTTCAGATAATATTATAATTTCCTCGAAGGAGATACAAAATAAGGTTAGTTGGACCTCCTTGCTCACTTCCTATTATTGCTGTACTTCGAGTCACTATAATGACGTTATTCATCGAATTATTTCCTATCGATACACTACGCTAGGACCATGCCACTGCAGTTATGATTAGGTATAATATCTTCTTAGTGCATTCTGATAAACCGCAAAATTCAAATATTAGAACGATGGAACATACATGCATTGCATCTTATTTATTAAATCACGAAATGGCGTGTTTTGAAATCACTATATAATTAATTTGAAAATAATAATATGTTATGAAAAATTCGCTTAGCATTTTAATGAAACAATCGCTATGCAACAAAATATAGAAAAATTCGCTTTCAAAGAGTTGTAATCATTCAATTTCACCCTCCACCCTCATACACACACTCAAACAAACCCACTCAACCACATGCACATACACACACACACACACACACACACACACACATACACACACACACACACACACACACACACACACACAGACACACATACACACACACAGCCACACAGACACACATACACACACACACATAGAAAGGAAAACAAAATATTTCAAGGATATATAAATAAATGTTTTGGAGGAATTGCAACTACTAAAATTCATGCTGACCCTAGTTTGGGAGATGTGACTCATATTACTATATTATGTAACTTCCTTGTAATATCTTAAAATAGTCACCATTGTCTGTAATTTTAAAAGATTATTATTATTTTGTCCCTGAAATGAATTTTTAGCTTTTGATTTGGTTTTTGGTCATTATGTCTCATGCAAAGAAATTAACGTTAGATTGAGCTGAGAATTAAAAGTAAGAAAACTAAAACTTTTTTAATAGATAAAATTATTAAGTTATCGTAAATATTCACCATTTTTCTTCCATTACATCTAGTAGTTTGTTTTCTTATTTCATTGATAAATATGTAATTCATTTGTTATCCGAGGTCTTTACGAGGAACTTTTATAATAATTCTAATGATTTTCTAGTAATTGAAATGACTTTGACCATCTCCTGTCATTAATTATCTCATTGCCGGACTCTTTGTCTGTGAGCCCGACTACATGATTTACGAAAAGAGTTTAAATACTGTTTCGACTTACCATTTGAAATGCAAAATACAAAAATAAAACTTTTTGTATTTCAAATAGAAAATAGGTTAATGCAAAATACTTTTTATAAATATAAATACTTTTTGTGCGAAATTATAACCTAATGCGTTACATCCAAGTTAGTTGCGGATGTGAAAATCATACTCCTATCATACCTCATATATAATTATATACAAAAAAGATTTGATTTCAATTTCAATCTATTAATTTCTAATTGTTTTGTGGGTTTAATTAAAAAGTAACGTTCGTTCGTTCTTTATGATAAACAATTAGTATAAATTTTAACATGTAAGTAATTTTAATTCATTCTATACATAAGGGGCCGTCCATTAATGACGTGAGAAGGGGGTTCGTGAAAAATCACGAAAAATCATAAGGGGAGCGGGGTGTAGTAATATATCGCGTATATTTATTTCTACCTCAAACGCGTGATTACTAAAACTAAAATGAGCGTCAAAAATTTGTCTTCTTATAATATACGTGATTAGGATTGACGACTACCCTCCAGTTTTAAACTTCACATTGGGATTAAAAAAATGGTGAAAAAAAGATCACGTGATTAATGGACGGCCCTCAAGCAGTTGATTGATTCATACTACAATTAAAAAAGTTAACAGCAATATTTTAATCGTGACTTACAACTGATATACATTAAATAATTTAATTGCAACGTGCAACTAAAGAATTGATTTCACTTGATTTCTAGTAAATTAACAAGTTGCTTGGAAAGTTAATTAAATTTACGGTTAACGTTGCCGCCGGACTAGTGTTATCATCTTTCAAGTATTAAATACTTCTAGGGATCTGTAGTTGTATTATATTACTTCTCTCGCTGGATGCCAAGAATTCTGAACCATTAAACATAGCAAGATTTATTTTTTAATTTATTTTTTGAACGATAAGTTAAATTATTTATTACGCTTTCGGAATCGGTCTTATTTTTACCAAAAATCGGTCTTATTTATTTTTTATTTTTGTTATTTAGGCACAATATTTCAATTTCTTTTTTGTTGTAAAAAAATCTCAAACTGAACTTAAACACCAAAATGGTTAGCTAGATCAGACAAATAGGCACGTCGGATTTTATACATATAATTAACTTTTGACTGAATATCTACCACTTTTAACGAATAAAAATTAACAGAGCTTAGATATGTTTTTTAGATTTTAAAATACTTTGTTTAATTTGTGTAGTCCAATTGTTGAAATTGGCGCTATTTGCAAAGTCTTTAGTTCAAACTTGTTGACGTTACCTCACTATTACTAAATGATGAAATTCATTATTTTCTTAGCTGGTACTTTAATATGTTTGTAGTTATTAAATTCATTTGGTGCAACCAACCCTTAATGTTGTTACATTATTTAATAAAAGTACACCTTAGATTATTATTAGTCTACTATTAATTTTCTAGTATACCATTAATATTGATGTACAGTTATTTCAAACTGCTTTCAGACGTGTTTCAACAATAAGCTATCGACATTGGTTTCCATTCGAAGCGTTCGATGTGAATTCCCGAATTTATAGCGTAATATAATCGATAAATCTATTGCACAGGCCCGCGATGCTCTGGAAATATATTAAGTCCTTGAGATAATACTAGTACGTGTCTACTTGTATGTTTGGTGAAGGCCTGGAGGACGCACTGACTTTATTTTTGATAACGTAGGGGAAATGCACTTAAGCCTTAGACGGGATCCTAATTAACCTTTTTATGTCTAATTTGAGAAAATACACTTACAAAATTAAGTAAACGTGTCAATGCCATTTTTGTATATTGTCTCTGGTCTGGGTTATATCAGATTTTATTAATAAAGTCATTATATGTGTTGCTGTCCAATATTTATTATTGATTTGTATAGATTACGCATATATTAATATTATGCTATTTCAACGACATTACATACTAGTCATATTGATTATTATCTTTTTGGAGCCGGCTTAAAACAGAAAGCTTACGACTTACGTTAGCGAATCAAAAATTAAAATTTGTGTACTGTTGTGTCGTAGCATCAACCAAATTTGTTTGCTAAATTATTAATTGTAAATGTAATAAAACTATCTAGTTCACATTGTTGTATATAAATAAATGTTAATAAAAAGTGAACATTCAGTGTCGTGATTTTTAATTATCAAGGCATATCTACAAATCTTTTCTATTATAATTGTAAAGAAACTTTGGAACACTTAAATAGAGGATTCAATATAAAAATCTTAACATATTGAATTATATATAATTATTTGATTTTTAACAAATATCGTATTGGGGGCCTCGTAATAAGTAACACCTAAGACGGCACATTAATTAATTTTATAATATCTGGAATAGTCTACATATAAATATTGTTTATTTGATATTGAGTGAAACCTGGCTTATGTGTAACTTAGCTTCTCAATTTGTAATGTCAAAAGTTTTTCCTGTATAATAACAGAAGTATCAAAATAAACTTGAGACACGTGTTACTTGAGATACGAGATAATAACTTGAGATCATTACAATTTAAAGTTATGTCCCTTTGTTTCGTTGAGTAGCAAAATTAAGACAACACAAACGAAGCGACAACAAAAAAGACAGGAGTATCAAAGGAATTGAGAGCTTTCAAAGCAGATCTTATACTCGAAGGCGACACTAATTAGCTCATGTGAATAGTTTTTAATTTCGAAATCATTTTAAGTACAAATAAGAATACATACGACACATAAAAAATTACTTATCGAAAAAATAAAAAAGTTTCAAAACTTTTCAAAAATTGAATCGAAAAACTTTTAAAAAAGCACGCCATAACATACCGCTTTTTCCGACTGACGGGGCACCGATCACTGCCACTTTCACTTCGCAGAGCGAAGACTTCTTCCGACGTATCCCTCGCGTGGTCATCGCGACGCGTTCATCGCCACGGGGCGCGGGAGACCGCCTGTCCGCCTGATCGTCGTCGGGCCAGCCAACCCCCGCGCGCGATCCGCTAAAAATACGCGAAGCGACAGCGCAGCTAGTGTTAATGGGTCAAGATCTGGCCAAGATCATAGCATGTTTACGTCGCCAACTTCCTGAGCCACGTGTCCGTGGCGCCAGGCCAACGGTCGCGGTGCGATGTCACGACACCAAGTGTCACAGGAGACGTGCCCGAGCTTGTACTGTGGTAAACAAGCAAACATGTAGATTCTTTAATCCATCTGTTGATTATATTGGAACCTGCCAACACGTCGATCTATTGAATTGTTTATTATATAAGGGCTTACATTTTATTTTTGGCAGAATGCCAGTATCCTCGCTGTCCTCCAGTATGTCGTAAGGCCGTTCCCACCCTAATTAGACCGAAAGTAATTTTAAAATGCTCTTTTGTTTATTTAACATTCGCTTTTATCAGGCTTTTGTGTTTCACGAAGTTGAACAAAAGATTTTTCTCGATATTTCCATTAAGTAACATTTTATTAGTTTATGAATATCTAAATATCACATTACAAATTGCCTATAAATTATTATAAGAATTCATTGTCAGCATAACGATTGTAGATAGGTTTGAAAGTTTGAAATTTAATAGTTTATGAAGTTTTGAAATGTTTAAACTTTCTTTATACCTTACTACTCTGTGTCTAATTAATTAATTGCAGTTAATTGACAGGTGCTAACGATGATGTACTACCACGTGAGTTCAATAAACGGCTACGCGATGAACTATTGTGCGAAAATCTGTAATATGTGGATCATAGTAACTCGCATGCATTGAAGAGGGGCATCTCTATGTTACATGTAATACTTAAAAAATATTGATATGTAAATATTATTTTTGGATACTAAATAGTGTGATTTTATCTGTAAGTAAACAAAAAAATGTTCACTTATAAAAACAGGCACGTTAAACGGTTGGTCCCCACACATGTAGCCCGTAATACCCACAAATCTCGCTGACGAACGTTTAAGCTCATAGTAGCTCCAGCAGTCATTACATCATCATCATCAGCCCCATTACATCCCCACTACAAAGGCTCAGGTCTTCCTTATGGATGCTTAAAGAGGATGGACCATATCCCTCCACAGTGGCCCAACACGGATTCGAGGGTATTAAAGACTACAAATGCAGATGAGAGATGGCTGTTCCGCAGGGCTCGATACTTGGTCCTTTCTAGTTTTTAATTTACATAAATGACTTGCCTTATTTCGTAAGGGATAATATACGTAAGTTTTGTTTGCGGATGACACTTCACTTTTGTTTAAAATTCAAAGACTGCTTCCAAATGACGATGTTAACAATTCTATCGCTAAAGTAGTACATTGGTTTAATGTAAATAATCTTCTGCTTAATGAAAGAAAAACAAAATGCCTAAAATTTGTACTGCCTAATATAATGTATTGATCTGGTAATGACATGATTTTTGTGAATCTCATTACTCCTACTAGAGCTGGTGAGTTTCTTGCTCGTTCTTCTTATCAGCCAAAAGACGTCCTGAACGAGTGGTAGGGAAAAAAATGTTGGACGATTCAAAAGTACTTTTAAGAAGTCTATTTGAATAAAAATTATTTTGAATTTCACTTTGTAGCCGGGATCAACAGCTCAACGTGCTTTCCGAAGCACGAAGTAGCTGGAGATAATGATTGGTCACCCATCCCATGACCTACCCTTGCGAAAGTTGCTTAATAACAACGATCGTGGGCCGTGGCATTTATCCACTTCGCCACTGAGCTGCAGCAGTGGGGTCATAAATAGGATAACGAACACAATGAAATCGTAAAGTTACTTAAAACGTAAAGTTTATTAAGTAAAGTTACTTAAAACTTTTAAAAATTGTTCAATAATTCAGTCGTTTTTGAAACTGCACGCACAATATTTTAATTTTGCACTTTGAGGAAGTTTTTTAGGAAACTGTAGGGACAGCTCCAAGCCCAGAAATAAAAATAACTATTGTTTTATCTTTTTGGCTGTCTTCGAACCTCTTAATAATAGAAACTAATTTAAATATCCACAATTTTTGTTCGAGATCAAATATAATAGAACTTTCAAGTGTCATGTTAATTCGCAAGTGTTATACCTACTCTAGAAATTTAAACATATAAACTTCTTCAACGAACTCATCTTTGAATTTTGTATTAGGTTACGATATGTTATAAGAAATAAAGATAATCTCCACCAAGTTGATTATGACATTTTAAATATAAATATTGCTATTTAGGCCTTAAATCAAAATAGTAAAGTGGTATCCAAAATACTATCTATATAATATCATATTTATTTATATTGTATCGGTACATCGTACCACTTTATTTGTTTTTTATTAGATTATTACAATCCATACTTTTTATCTATAATTTTTAAGATGAATTATTTTTTTATCATTTCCTAATTTTAAATTTTACGTAACTCGACATGCTGAATTTGAATGCTCTGTCAGTTCGTGAAATTTTTTCTAACATGTTTATTATTATTGAAATCAATAAAATATTTTAAAATGTAATAGCTAAGTTCCAGCTTTAAGGAAAACCTAGAAATAGGGCATGTAATTGTCTTATTTACATACCCTGATCCTGGGTTGATTTCGGCATGATTAAAAAGATTAAATTTTAAAAGAAGATAACTCTGAAATCAAATTAGGAAAATGTGTGATTTTTCATTTGTTTTTCAATGAGTGAATCTAATTAATTATTTTGATACATTTTAAAATGGTAGTAGTAAACAAAAAAGGTAAAAATTTCTGTGAGAGTAATACAAATTTGGTTTGAGCGTCTTCAGTCCAGATTTTTTTTGTCATAATGGATCACGTACGAAAAAGGTCGTAGTCAAAGGTCGGTCAGGCTTCACAGACTAGCGAAAACCGGGTTAACTCGTGACAAGGTGATGCTGTGTGTATGGTGGGATTGGAAGGGCATTATTTATTATGAGCTGTAACCGCCAGGTTCTGAACTCTACTGCAAACACCGAATGAGATTAAAGCAAGAAGTTGAGAGAAAGCGGTTAGAATTAAAAAAAAAAACACTTGTCGCAGTTTTGTGATCAGAAAGAAGTCGCAAAATTTCTATAGCAATGGGATCATTTCCCTTACTACAAGATGGCAAAAAGTGTCAGAACAAAATGGCACCTACACACTTTAGTTAAATGTAAATAAACTTAATTAAAAAATGTTTTGAGTTTTCATATAAAATTGAAAAAAGCTTTTTCCCCAACCTGTTAATACGTAAATTATTAATTTATTTTCTATCAGTTAATTATATTGCACTTAATTAAATCCTTTTGCATATTGATAGTTTCAACTACAGCTTATAAGTACTTTGCTTCGCTTGACAAACAGGTCAGCCTAGTTCAGGCATGTGATGTTAATATTCGCTATAAATATTTTTAACTTATAACATTATGTACAGGCAAAGAAGAATACAATAAATGTATTGTTATTAGAGCTTGGAATATATCAAATAATGTACCAGTTGAATTATGAGTTATATTTATACGAACTAGAAATAATCTCAACCAGCACAATTCGTAAAATTACTGAATTTACAGAAATATGTATCTCCGTGTTATATTTTCATATTTATATTATTTTGGGAAATCTTAAAAATACGGAAACATATTTTTATTTTTTTCATGGTCGATACAATAATAATAAAAAATATTGACATATATGTATATTTACCCTCCGATCCGCATTGGGCCAGCGTGGAGGGTCATGGCCCATCCTCCTTAACCATCCATAAGGAAGGCCTGAGTCCCTGCAGTGGGGACGTAAAAGGGGCTGATGATGATGATATGTATATTGCATTTTGAGTTTGAATTCTCCAAAGAGTTTTTATTTATTGCAAATTCAATTGAAACATTTGTAAATGGTTAATAATTAATTATTTATACCTTTAAAAAGTCTACAATTTCATCGAATCTATTTATTTACAAACTACTTACGTATACAAATCGATATTAGACTATCGATCTGGAGGAAAAGTTTGCAAATCATAATATTTTATATTATAATTTGGGAGCGAAGGCGGATGCTATAAATATTTATTAATAGGTACATATACTTGTATTTTTATTATCTCCTTCAAAACATACGTTTGTTAATATAAGGAGGGAAGCATAATATTTCGATTGTAAATATCAACAAATGATATTTCAACATATTTTCATTCACAACGCACCTATTCACTTCTCAGTTTCTAAAATGGTAATTTATAAATATGTTAGTAATTTTGTAGGTTTCATTGTCATGAAATGAAATGAAAATGTCTTTATTCAAGTAAAATTGTCTCAAGCACTTTTGAATCGTTCAAAAATAAAATTTTCTCTGCTATTTGTTCAGGACGTCTTTTAGCTGACAAGAAGAACCAGCGAAAGAAACTTACCAGCTCTTTATCATAAGTAATGACATTTACATAAATCATGTTATTACAGAAATAAGAGTAGTTTGTATTATCACAATAATAAATACAACTGTCATGGCCATTGACATTATAATAATGGTTTTTTAAAAACCTTATTGTTACATCGTAAGAGTGTAGTTAGTTGACGCTTGCAACAACGGTGAAATAGCAGGAAATCGATTAATGCACTTTCTTTTGCAAAGTTTGTGAAGAATATCATCAATATAATATTATATGCATTTATATGTAAGTATATTTAAATTATTGGTATGTTATATATTTATTATTAGTTTACTATTTGGCACCTATAAGTTTTAAATTAGTTATCTACTTTTATTGCTCTGTACCGCCATCGCGTTTGTCATTTTTCCCAAAGGTTAACTGGGATAACATTAAATCCATTAGCATTAAGTCCACGATAAGGCAAATCCACTCAATGAAGTTCAATAAATAAATGAAATATAGAAGGAGTTGCGTAAAAACGTATGATAATAATGATTTTATATTAATTAGTTACCGCTCATAAATCCATAGTGCGAAATTGAAATTAAAAATAAAATTTGCTAACAATTATGCGAAAATTAATTATCGTTAACAAATGTTATTTTAATTTTACTTATTTTAAACCCCGACGCAAAAAAAGGGTGTAATAAGTTTGACGTGCCTACGTATG